ACTCGGGTCGGTGTGACATCAACCAGAGGTGCTACTCGGGCCAGTGTGTCATAAACCGGCCCCGGTACTGGCTCCAATGTCTGATTACCATGGGTTAGGGTATCAGAAACCGGCCCCGGTTCTATGTCCATATCTCATGTAGGTGAGCAGCCCCTCAATCCCATGGATCACAATGATCCCATTGTTGAACAGGTCGGGGTGAGTCACAGGCATGCGTGAGGGTAAAATTGGAAAGTTCAGTGATGAGTAGGGTGTTGCCATGGAGGAGTGTCGGGATGAGGGACCCGGCCCAGAGGCGAGGGCAGTTTGCGAGGAGGAGGCAAAGAGTGGGGGAAGGGGAAGGGGAAGGGGAGGGTGGGGAGCCCATGAATGGAACTTGTTTGTTGAGGGCTGGATGATGGTGAGGAAGGTTGGCTACAGACAGAGAAAGAGGACAATGATGATGAGGAGGGCGGGGACGGGTTTTCGGGCCTTGGTGGAGGGCCTGTAGAGAGAGAGAGAGGATCCTACACTGAACTACCCAAGGAAGGAGAGAGAGAGATTTGTGATTTACAGAGAGGTTGGTTTTTCTGTATAAGAGAGAATGGCACAAAAAAAAAAAATTAGAGTCAGAATTCAACGAGCTGCATGCATGGAGAGAGAGAAGTGTTTCATACAGAGAGACAATTAGAATTCAAAGAGTTGTATGCATGGAGAAAGATTAGTGTTTCAGAGAGAGAGAGAGAGAAATAGATTTCAAAGAGAGAGTTGTCTGGATGGAGAGAGATAAGTGTTTCAGAGAGAGAGAGAGAATTAGAATTCAAAAGGAGTGTTTCTCAGAGAGAGAGACCTACGATTTATGATGCAGAGGGGGATTGAAGCTCTCTCAGAGACACAGTGAGACAGTGAAAACATTAAGACCTGGAAGAACAGAAGCAACAGGAGCCATTACATTACATGTATTTATTTCAACTAAAACAAAAATACCTAATTCTTCTACAACTCTAATACCAAATTATCTCTTACGTACAAATCTCTCTCTAAATCACTACAATTTTATTTCAAATGGATAAAAGATAACCATGGGAAATTTTTTTAAATATCCCTTATGATTTTCATTATTTAAAAATTGTTCTCTTCTTTTCATGCCTTGTGCGAATGTTCTTGGTTATTTCTGGGAAATTAGGGGATGTGTTTAGAGAGAGAGGTGGCGAGGAAAGATTTGGTGGCTTTGCCTTTATCGTAGAGAGAGAGAGAGAGATCAACGAGAGAGAGAGTTCTTGTCTAAATCTAACTCATATTATTCGCTAAATTTGTTACATAGAAACTAAGAATTAAATTTGGTACATAGAAACTAAGAATGATTTACTTATGGAACCCTAAATTTTTTCCTAAAGTACGAAATGTTCTGATTATAGGTGGAACTGCGTTTTATTTAGTTGTTTCAAAATTGCCCTTCGGTTCGATAATTCTATCTTGAATTTTATTTTTTTTGTTTTTTCATTAGTAGGGAAATTAAAAAAAAATAAAAATAAAATTTGGCATGAGGATACTCGGACAGAAGGGTAATTTTGAAAAAAATAAAAAAAATGTGGTTTGAACTACATTTTTTGTAATTTCTGCTTATAAACGAAGCATTTTGTATTTTAGAAAAAAAGTAGGGTAAGTACGTAAATCACTCTAGAATTAATTACCTATTTGAAGCTGAAATAAGTTATTACAAATAACTAATGGGAGTGCATATTTACCTTTTGGTATAGGGAGGCCATAATTATTTGTAACCATTTGATGTGAAATCTAATAGCTTAAGTGTGCCACAAAGTTCGAAATTTTTTTTTTTTAGACTTTGAGTTTGATCAATAGAATAAACGCAACAATCAATTTTACATCTAATGATCAAGATTAATTGTGATCATCCTGTACCAAAAGTAAATAGTCTAATTATATACTTTCCCCTAACAATATTACTTCCCTGTATAAATGCATGTAATGTAATGTAAAAAGGTTTTATTTCAAAAAGTCAAAAAAAAATCGGGTCAAAAATAAAATATGGTCGAATGGGTTTTTTTTGGATATCATTCATGCCTCAGCATTCTCATGTATTAAGTTCGAATCGCAAAAGTACCGACATTTTCTACCTCCTTTTTATTTGTCAAAAAAAGATCGAGTAAAAAAATACAGATTGCCAAAAAATAAGGTAAGTTATAGAGAAGTGAATATTTTGAATTTAATTAAAAAAAGTGTAGTGAAAAAATCAGATAAGTAAAGCTGATACAATATAGGATTATGATTTTCAGCTATTATATAAATATACTGAAGCCATTAAAAAATAATTTTATGGCATTACTACTTAACAATTTTTTGTCGAAACTTTGAATAAATCCAGAAATAATTACTCTGTTGACACATCACAAAACATATCGTAAATTTATTGGGAGCACAAAATCAAATAACAACAACAATACTAAACACAAAAACTAATTAGCGAATAACAAGAATTGTGAACAAAGGTATATGTCTATTTTTCAAAGAAAAAAACAAAAAAAAACCCTCAATATAAGATTGCATATAATTAAAAGAAAACATAAGAATTTCAATATGAAAACATAAGAATTCCAATATGTAAAATAGTGGTCCATCCAAAATGCTATGTTGTATACACCAATAAATAAATAAATAAATAAAGAAATAAAGAGAGAGAGAGGAAGCATCGTTCCTTTCATATTGTGTATGTTATGAGAGTGGGAGAGAGTTATGGGAGGGGGAGAGAGGGAGCATTGCTCCTTTCATGATTTGCATGTTGAGGAGAGGGAGAGAGAGTGGTGTGGGTCCTTTCATACTGTGACTGGTAGAGGATACACGGGCAAGGCATCCACCATTTGTTCATTAAATAGACGATGGCTGACCATCCATACTTCGATATTTGATAGTTTTAGAAAGTATAATGGAACTCTAGATGTTGATCCAAAACTCCTGATTATATAGAATGCCAAACAAGAAGCTTTTAAGTTTCATAGTCCTTAGCATAACATCTAACTCTTTCAGGAGCATAGTTTACTTCTATTTCCTCAGTTAGAAGATTAACTTGAGAAATTTTTTCAATCAAAAATTGCTAGATGATTATTCTAAAAAATTTTAAATTTGAATTTTCTAACACTTAAGTCTCACCATCTAAAAATTAAACGGTCTCTATTCAATCTCAAGACATTATTTTTTTCAAGTGCATAGAGGGTACAATTAGAATTTTTTTTTTTTTTTGAAATTAATCTATAGGTTGAAGAGTTTACAACCAAAATTTGAGATCCTAAAATTAATTCTAGGTTATGTTTTATCTGACAGAGTAATTGGACATTCTACTCCTTCCAGAGTGGATGTTTTACTCCCGCCAAAGTGGAATATTTTTTGGCACATGTATTTAAATGGAGGGATGTCCAGGCCAACTTGTCCCTAGCTAAGCATAGCGTATACCATGCTCTTGCGGGAGCACATTGTACAACAACTGAAACTTTGGGATGTACATTGTGAGTTTTTGACCATTGTGTTGAACTTAATTGTATTTTGAGAAAGGGATATGTAAAGGACCTATTAGAGTTGTAATTTTGTTTATAAAGATTGGTATAAACCAAGTGCACACTCTTTAGATACACTTGAGCAATTATTATTTGGAAGACCTGTATATAAGGTTGCAGAAATCTATGCCATCCATTTTTTTTGGTAGAAGTAAGGTTGCAAACATTTATACCATTTTATTAGATATTCTAGGATATTGACTTAGAATTACTCCTTTGAAAATTTTGACCACAAAATACTTCTACTGATCTAAAATTATATTTATAATTTTGACTCGCTTCCAATATTCAAACATAGTTAAAAAATTAAAAGTAATTTTTGGGGAAAATACGAAATGGAAAAAATAGCCTTCATAAAATAGGTGAATAATATATAGTAAATAATTTTCGAATATATATAAGTATTTTGTTGGACAAAAATTTTGAAGTAAAATCTGAACTCGCCAAGTTATATATATAGACTTCTATGTTCTCTTGTTTGCCAGAACTTGTATATAGACTAAAATGTTCACTGAAATCTTTTGTTGATTAAGCACTCGTATAGACTTCTACGTTCTCTGTTTTGGCAGAAGTTCAAGGCTGAGCTGACTTCTGAGTTCTCTTCACTGTACTGAGCCTGAGTTCCATTAATTTTTTTTGAGATTTTTTTTCCCGAGAAGTTGTTCAAGTCGGTGCTCATTGGTAGACATTATACAACCTTTGAGATTAATGCTGGCTCTTAGTGGTGGACAATCATATTGATGTTGTGGTTAATTCTCACCATCAACTGCCATACTAGATGGTCGATGTTCTCAACTACTATTTGTTAGGTTTTGTATACCGTGAGACATTATCTTTGTTTCAAGGAGTAATTGGGTTTGATTATTTTTTTTTTTAAACCATTGAGTCCACTCTTACAATCATCCGATTTGAAATTTGATGGATAAAAATGATTATGACCTACTTGTACCAACAACTGATATACTTTCTCAATTATTATGAATTAAAACTAATTCATACTGAAAAAATGATAGCGATAATCTCAACACTTGACGTTGGAAACTCAGAATAGTATCCTATTTTGCGAAATACGTCAAGCAGCAGGAAACCATAGAGGTTGTCTCCAGTTAACGCAAGTCTTTTTGATAGATCTGGTTCTTAACGCTGGTCCTCACTACTTGTATAAACCGCATTTATGCGCCACTACAATGAAAATAGCAGTCATATGTTGGTCATCATCCATTGTTTCCTCCTTGTTTTGTACAGGTAAACTTGGATACCAAAATATTCCATGCTCTATGGGAGCATACTATCCACTTGCTCCCAATTTGAGGGCATTTTTAGGTCCTTATTCTGGAGATGTAATTTCTTCAACCTAGAACTTCATAAGAATTTTTTTTTCCAATCTGTGTTCGAAAATATAAAACATACCAATAATGCATATAGACCATCCAATTTTCGAACGGTGAGATCTAAGTGTTGAAGAATTCAAAATACGAATTTCATTTTTTAATAATTGTCATATGGCAATTCTTAGGTGAATCCCAAAATATGAGATTATAATTGAAAAAAAAAAGAAAAATCCTCCCAAATTGCTTCTCCACCCAAGGGAGCAAATGTACAATATGCTCCCATGAGAGCACAACATATGCTTTAAACATGGATTATGGCCATGAATGGTCCATCTCACATGTCCTAAACCACTTAAATAGAGGGTCTACTCAACTCCAATATAGATGGGAGTGGGCGTTGTAGGGATGTGTTCTTCATCAATTTCATTGGACGGGGTTGCAACCAACAACTCAACTAGAAGGCAATTGTTATTGCGGTTTGATCCTAGCCAACCTACCAGTAAAAGGTTTTCAATTGAGGTAACCCCCCCCCCCCCCCCCTTCCCCCAAACACACATGCGTGTCAGTAATCAGGTTGCCAAGCTGAGTGTATGTGAACCAAGTTCGAGTCCCAAGTTCTAGAACCTTGATCCATAGATGGGTGGGGAGGGAGTAGGATCAGGTTAAGTGAAATAAAATGTCAATGCATGTGGAAAGGCCCTTAAGTGAGTTTACAAATATTTGCACACAATGGGGCTCAATGAATTGAAGGGCTTAGCATGCTGCTTTCATTCCCACAATATCCTTAAAATGGGCTGACTTTGTGGGCCAACTTCAACATAAACTCAGGTACGAGACGCCGTCTTGGAGGTGCTCGCACATCATCAGCTTGGGCAGCTGCATCCCCAGCATGAATGACAGCAAGTATATCACGGAGAAGCTCATCAGAACCCCCCCTTAGTGGATCCTGCAATCCACACAAAAGACAATCCCTCCGTAAAAATTCTATTTGAGCAAAACCGATTGTGAACCATTTTATTAGGCATCAGCAACGCACCAGCCAATTCAGATTGCGACCATATAAGCTGGGTGTCAATCCAATGGACTTTAAGCATCGACTATGTACAAACAACAATATTGCCGATTCATTTTCATTGGTCTCTTTTATCTTTTCCCTGGTCAATCTATTTAAATCAGTTAACAGCTATGAGTGACATTTTTCTCACATAGTTGAGAATGGTTAGAGGGAGAAGAGTAGAATGAAGACAAGGCCCAACTGCTACCGACCAAGTATAATTGCTACCATAATGTCCTAAAACTTCTTTCAAACTTCCTCAACTACATTTGGCCAATAAGCAGTGAACAAGACTTCAAGGAACTCCACTCAGTTCACTTGACTATTATGTAACACTTCCCAAAAAATCGTCTATTTAGTCTTGAGGAAGAGATCCCCAAGAATACGGGAGTCCATGGAACATCGGAGTACTCTCATTTCTCTGTTCAACACTGAGGCTCCCAAGTAATTCATCATCTCTTTTAGCACCATCACGTCCCCTTCTCTGAATTTCATACGCTAAATTTATTGCATGGGGTTATCACGTACATCTAGCTACAGCCACATATACTGCATTTATAGATCACAAAAGACACTCAACAAAATCCCCAAAGTCAAGTCGACAATGGACTTTCTGGTTCTCAGAAACAGTTCTAGTGGGGATCAATATCATCAAAATGAACCAGCAGAATGTCTTAAACCCCAGGAATGGCTCCATAGAAGTAGCTCGGGGAAATTTGGAATCAGCCCATAAAACCCTAGATCCCTATATAACTCCAAATAACCAGTGAAATCAGTGTAAAGGGAGTAAAAGCCATGAGTAGAAGGTTACATGATAAGCTCCAGTATAAGACAACAAGAAGGCAGAAAAACATATGATCCTGCCAAGCTACACATGAGACTATCCAATGCCCTAGAAAATATATTCTCATATTTGGTGATGCCCCTTTCTCATACAAATAAATAACCATCTCTTCGGTAAGAATGCCAAGTTATCCACATCAGTAAATAGTGATTTGTCTTTCATGGCATGCTACATTCTAATGTCCAGATTCTATAATTATTGGCACTCCCAGTGAACAGAACTAAACAACTAATATTCTTAGGTTAGCATCCTAGATAGATGAACTGACATCAACCACTTACTTGTAGAAACAAATCGGTATGGGATTTTCTTTCATATATAATTAACTTGACTTCAGCTCCAACTTGCTGGAGAGCATCAGCAAAAGTCTTACTGCATAGAGAAAGAACATGAGACAATCAAGAGAAGCATTGTCCGTAAATATACTTATATAAGCCAACCATAGATCGGAAAACATTGTGAAGACAAAAGCAATACAATAACTACACAATACAGGTGAAAGCATAGAAATGTGTTCACTGAAATGTTTACTGTGAAAGTAGGATACATGCAATAAAAGAAAACTCTAATGAGATAGGAATAACAATGAAAACGAATCATGTGAATATACTGAAAATATTTTGTGAATGGTTGCAATTGTGTAGCATACTAGCATTTACATAAATCAGACGCATCCTTTTGCACAGTTATACTTTTTGCTGCAGCAAGAATTGAAGAAAGCAAGAAAATCTCAAAAGAGGGAGAGCACAACAACCATGAATCAAGCATTACAACTCTAGAACTCAAAAGTTCCATGAGAATTTCAATAAAATTTTCCATCCCAACACCACCATGATTCTTCATTACTAAGACAAACATAACCCCCTTTTACTCCTTTCTGCCAACAAATGAAGCATGGCTTTTTCTTTTCCATCTTAACCCTCTATTCATCTTCATCTCTTAAAGGGGGTAATTTCACATTCGCACCATCCTCAGTAACAAATTTTCTGGCCTTTACGAATCACGGAACAGTCGTATTGCCAATGACATCCCAGTGCAGCTTGTATAGGCTGAACCACGAAGAGCTTGCCATTATCGGCGTGTGTGTCATCTTCACCTCCCTTCATGTCAGCCTCAATCCATCGGTGTCTATGCTTTCCTCCTCATTGCCCTCCACAGATTCCCCTTGTAAGTGTACCCCAGCTTGGCACTGCAGGCAATCATAAGACCTATGTCCCGACTCACCGCACTTGAATCAAGCAACTGGTTTACTGATGTTTTGGGTCTATTATGCTGTGCTAGGCATGCCTTGGAAGATTTGGCCTTAAACCGACTTCCTTCCTCCCCATGGGGCTGATACTGATTAGAACTTTGCCCCACTGCCTCCTTGGGCTTTGTAGTGGCTGGTCACTTATCTACACAGCGATTGGGCCTAGATCTACGCAATTTGGTCTCAGATTTCAAAGCAAACTGGTACACATGATCCCAAGTACAAATCTGATGCATATACAACTCGTCTTGTATTGCAATATGCCCACTAGTATATCGTGCAATCAACTGGTCATCAGTCTCCCAAATATCAGTTCAACTCAACAATAGAAGGCTTATGAATAACCCGGTACTGATCCATCTTTATGTTGTAAATGATGGAGTCGGTGGAAAAGATCTTGCATATAATCTGTGGGCAGGAATTTTCACTTCCAATACCCCTTCATCTCTCTTGACTGCGGTGCTTATGCTTTCTTTTTTGTGCGATCAACCTGAGTTTTCTGCCACCATAACAAAGCATGTTCTTTTAATCTAGTACCAAGAAATCGTATCTTTTTATGCTCCGCCATTTCCTTCCATTGAAAAAATTGTTTGACACTTGGAAGCCAGTCAAGGAGGCTTCTGGGTATAATCGCCTTGTAAAATCAGGAACATCAACCCAAATACTCTGTTCAGAGCCTTAAAGTGTTTGAACTAGCTGATCTGCAAACGGTATAGGGTTCCTTTCATGAGATATGATTCTAGGCTATCCAAGCCTGAATCATCTATCAAATTCAGATTTTGTCTGCATCCTAAACCCTGCAAACGCACGTCATCATCCTTGCGTTCACCCTTTCCTAGCACAACTTTAGGGTGACGTATCTAATTTGGCGCACTCAATTGATGCAATTGTCTTGATGCCATGCTGACACCATCCTCATAATTTTTTTATCAATTTATGCACAGCCAGGGGAAGGACAGTTTTGCGATTTTTATGATGTCTAGGGGTGGCGTGGAACTTTGGAGAGGTTGTTTGGAATTTATTTGATGAATAGGGTACTTTCGTACTTTGTTGTACTTAGGGTTTAGAAGATGGGTTAATCTAAAGTTTTGTTTAGGAAAATTTTAGTTTTACAGATTTATCATTGTAGATAGACTTTCTACATAGAAGCACATTTTAGCTTCACTTGTATAGAATCTATTTGATTTCTAGCCTTATTTTCTGCTCAATCGTGTTCATTTATTACTGTGTTATGAACCAGTCACTTTCTGTGAGCAAATGTGAATCAGGTTCCACAAAAATAAAATATGAAGATAAAAGGGAAGTCTTTAATCACTTGCTGGCCTTTTCCCTGAGTTTGAAAGGATCAATGCACAATTATTGCTATCCTTGTGCCCTCAATGAATAAAGGTTCTTTCAGTGCAGATTCAAGAAGAGAATTGTTAGAAGCTGATGGCTATACTTCTACCCAAAATGCAAGAGATAAACTCATATTTTGCTACTCATGGGGGACCTAAAAACATGATTCCAGCCGCTAATAGTAACCCTTAAAACTGACATGCTAGGAAGCTGTGTGCATCCATTGGTAGCAAAAGGGTGAAGACAAGGCTGTAGCAGAATCTTTTTCTATTGCACAAATTACAATACACCTGGTCATTCCACTGACTGAAGCTGGAAATCCTGAGTCAGTGGTATTTTTATATTAGTAGAAAGTAATGCAACAACTTCAGGCAGACACCAAGCGCATCAAGGTTAGTTGTCACTACATTGGAGAGATGGTTGAAGAAGGAATGCTCAAGACTCGTCATCTAATTCATAAATCACAGCTGGCTGATGCTCTCACTAATGCTTTGAGGAGAGCCATGAATTTGCAGTTGACGATAAAAAAAGTACTGCTTGCAGCTCTAGGGGGACTGCAGAGAGTTGCACCTTTGTAAATTGATAAAGGTTATATATCTAATCCATGAGGCTATATTTGTAGTAATATGTTTTCTATGGGTAGTTGTGCGAATGAAACCCATATTAGATGTACATACAGAAAAGCCTAATAGCATTAGTGAACAAGACAGTTTTGGTCCTTCGACTTCTAGAAATGAATGATACAAAATTTCCTCTTCTTCTTTTAGTTTAGGGGACCAAATTTCTGGACCAAAGACATAACCTTCATCAAAGTCACATTGTTTTCCTCATAATAAGAACCGAAAACAACAAAACAAAACCCTCGAAGAAAGGTCTTTGAAGTGCTCATGCATTAAGAATTACCTAAACAGGGTGTATAGACTAGCAAACGAAGCTGCTCAAAGTGGGACAAAACTACCCACTAAAATAGAACAAAATATCTGAATAACATCAGGTCTAAAAAGCAAGGAATGGCACCAAATGAAGCAAAGCTCTCTCTTCTCAACTATATATATGCTACTCGGCCTGACCACATCCAAATGGTTGAGCCCCCCAAAAACCAAAGGGTGTTTTCTTTTAGTCGAGAATTTTCAGATCATCTTTAGTCACCCTGAGATTAATTTCAATAAGAAAACTCATTATGAGCTTAGAAATTGCTCCAAATAAATTTTCAAGACTAAAATTGAACAGTCAATTTGAGGAAAGATAGATCTAGGGTTTTGAAAAGCCGAAGAGTTATTACAACATATATATGTATATATATGTTGTAATTATATATATGTATATATATGTTGTAATTACTCTTCGGCTTTTCAAAACCCTAGATATGTCTTTCCTCAAATGAGACCATTTATCTTTGGTATAGGTAGGTCACAATTACTTACAACCAGTCAACGTGAAATCTGATAGCTTAGGTGTCACAAAGTTCGAAAAAAAAAATTTTTGAACTTTGAGCTTAGTCAATGAAAAAATGCAGCCACCCAATTTCACATCCAATGGTCAAGATTAATTGTGACCACCTTGTACCAAAGGTAAATGATCTCATTACATACTTTCCCTAAATATATTATGTTATAGTTGGATCCCAAATTCTGCACACGTTCTCATCTCATCCTAGCAATAAAAAAAAAAGAAAAAAAGAAAAAAAAGAAACACAGAAAAAGGTCTGGAATGAGTCTGCTTTCTTAAGTGAACAGAGGTTGTCCATTTGATGCACGGAGGATCTGGGTCATCTACGAGTTGGACAGGGTGAACTAGCATGGTATACGCGGTTTGTAATTTTTCTCTTTTCCATTGGCTAGAACACTTACAATGGTCCAACTAATACAAAATAAACTCAAAATAAACAAAGATGAACAACAAAAACTCATTCTCACTTGTTGCTACTTAAAACAACCCATTTCAATAACAAAATTACATAAGACTCAAGAATCACAAACTGCATAACAATCACAAACTGCATAACACAAAATAAAGGTGCCAGAAGATTACCTCAATTGGACTTGATACACCTCACTCCGGGTCTCCTCCTCCGATGGCTCATGGGATCAAGGTCTATCTCAAATTTTATAAGTATGGGAAGCCTAGGCTAGGAGGCCTTCAATGCAGAGAGCAGTGGAACATAAACTATGCTCAAACTCTTGTATGGGGAGTGCATTCTCATGGCTCAAAAAACTGGACGACGCCCCCTTTTCTTTTTCTTTCAAAATATTTTATATCCCTTAGGGGAGCTAAGAGAGATGAGAGTTCAGAGAGAGGGGTGGCATGCCACCTTTGAGAGCGAGAGAGGGAGAGGTTATAATTAGGGTGTAGAGAATGCGTCCCCCATTGAAACTATAGATGCATTCATGCTTAAGGTTAGGGTTTCAAGGGTTAGCATCCTTATGGAGAATCGATCCAGACCATTGATCATAGGAGACTTGTGGGGTGAGAGATCTTAGCCTTACAATCTATAGATTAGCTATCAAGATCTATTGGAAGGTGCTAGAACCTTATCCTTCAGATTCCTTATCCCATCAAATATACAATACATGAAAAATACCTCTTTCCTTTTATTTCCATCAAATACACAATACATGAAAAATATATCTTTTTCCTTTTATTTCTGTATTTTCTCTTACACATGCTTCTTTGAAAAGTCAAAACTCTTTTAATTGCAAAACCTTCCCATTTATTTCAAATTAATTAAGCGGCTGATTTTGCATGCTGCAAAATAGGAAAGGAGTAGCACTATGTGGGGTGTGCCTCTCATGGAGCCCCAAGTGCGCCCCACAAACCTCCCCACATGCAACTATTTTAGTTGGGCCCGTGAGTACAATGGGGCCCCCATATGTATTACTAATTTTAAAATTGAGAAAATATTTTTTAGAAAATGTTTGCCCTTTTTATTTGGCTCTCTGATTCATTAAATACTGAAAATTCAGTTTTAGCCTATTTCTAAATTTGTTTTGAGAAAATAAAATATCCAGAGGTTTATAAAAATTTCTTTTATCAATCTAAAAATCATTTATAGTCAAAATAATTATTTCTAAATTATTTTGATGGGATTCAGATCCAATCATATTAAAGAAATAGCGAAATTACTAAAGCACTCCATCTTCTACTAGTGAGTATGAACCACACCCACTTTTCAAACTGACCCAATAGTTCCCATGACCCACAGGCCATCGCAAGGACCTACCAAAGTCAGCCAATAAGTGAGAGGATACAATCCTAGTCTATGGATGACAAGTTCTACCTTAGGGATAACTCCTAGGTCACACAGACCTGTGCACACATATCGCATTTAGTACATATGGGGGGTAATATGTTGCACATGTACACGTATCACCCTCGATAGTGCTTTGCAATACGGCTATCACGTGTGCATGCCATGTGATAGTATAAGATGAGGCTTTGACCCTTATCCCTTTAGGCCCACCAATCACACACAAGGGTCACATACTACACTGGGCATCTCCGACCTCATCAAGGGGTAACTCTACAAACCCTTCTCGGCTGTGCTCTATGCCTAGGTATTTAGGGTTTTGGAACTCAACTGGCCTAGCTCATAAAGCCTAGTTTGAGTTTCGACAACAATATTGCCAACCTTGGTCCCTCTGGACCATACTCCTACTGGAGTTTATTGTTCTCCTATAATAATTTTGGTCACATGCTCTCGTAAGGCCTTTAAATGGTCACAAAAACCCAACATCTTCAAGACCTAAAAATCAACTATTTTTTAAATTGGTCATTTTTATGAATCAAATATGCTGTGCAAAATTTCATCCCAAAAATTCTTATAGCTAGGTATTTTGGCCAACATGCTCATATTGAAGCATAAGTCCATGGTTTATACAATCTTTTTCCATACATACATACATATCTACATACATATCAAGGATTTGGTCGACCCCAAGATGGACCATAGAAGTATTCGCCCTCCGCATTTTTATCCACCTTGGAGGCATTTGTTTACCCTCAAAATTTACAATCCATCTATCGGACAAGATGAAGAACTAAAAAAAAGACCCTAAAAAGTGCTCTTTTAGTAGGCAATGATCTAGGCATTTAAGAATCCATAATCAATTTCTTCTTAAACTGTTCAAGAGATGATGATAATGCTATCGACAAAATTTGGGGTCAAATCCCCTTAAGGCCTTGATCCAATAATTCCATCACATAAATGGTCATCGTTCACTGAATGTTCTCTACACAAAAGAGACCATTTTCTTTGTTTTTCTTTTCATGAACTTGTTCTCCAATTGGAATACAGGTGCTTCACAAATTTTGAGGGAAACGAAATGCCCTCAAGGTGGTTAAAAATGGGAAGGGCTGAAACTATAGTCGCTCCTTTCACTACTTTCTATTGAGCAAGGGACACATAAAGGATCCAAGATCAGTCTCATCTACTCTAAGAGCCCTGTCCAAAAAAAGGAAAACTTGATTTGGAGCTCAAATAATGCCCTAAATCAAATTACCCCAAGATTGAATGTGGAGCGCTCAATTGAGTGATGTTAGATACAGAGGACTACTTTGAAGCTCCAAATCAATCTTGAGCTGAGGGAGAGTGTTACCAAGGCATATTGGGGCTGTTGTGGGTCCCTCACCTTATCAAAAGTAGTGGATTTTGGGTGAGGGCCCTTTGCTATAGTATTGGCCCTTGAATCTTTTCCCTATATACACAAACATGTATATTTATGTGGCTATAAGAGGCCCAATATACACCCATACATGTATATGCCTCAGTATGGGAGACACAAATCTAATATATTGGGATCGTATAAGACCATTTACTTCAGATAGAAGGAGATCAAAATACTCTTGGCTATTGGATGTGAAATCTGACAGCTTGATATTTGTCACAACATTTAGTTTGGAGTTTGCACATCCCAAATTACCTGATTTCACATCTAATGGCTAATAATTATTGTGACCGCCTTGTACCAAAAGTAAATGGTCTTATAATATATATTTCTTATACTTAATGGAAATGGTGTAGCAATTCTAGCAAAAGATTTATACCTTGCTTGTGAAGGAATAGAAATATCCTTTGTTCCATGGAAAAGAACAATAGGGGGCAAAAGCGAAGCTGCATGTCTCATTGCTGGATCCTGTACCACCAGTTCTGGGGAAAACCTCTGTAAGGATGGCTCTCCTTCCATTATACTGAAATGACATTATTCATCAATTACCCCAAAAATGTACCATCTAAACTCCAAAGTAGTAGATTAGAAAGGTATAAATAGGCATCAAATTCATAATTTTATACACCACCAACAAATAATTATTTACCTCAGAAAGATAGAACGATAGAGCCCTCGCCTATGGAAGTGATCAACTAAGCTCAGTAGGTTGTACCTGTGCACAGCAAGAGTTGGAAAGCAAGATAAGGCAGCAAAACATGTATAACTATAGAAAATAAGCATATCCATAAATATTTGAACTCACATTTGATGTAATATCACACCAATCCTAGTTACAAATACATATGGATGTCATTTGTTTCTCACAGTTAAACTAGAAAAGAGCTCTAATCCAATTGGGAAAAGAAGAATAAAAGAACCATCTAAGAATTAAATTGAATAGATGGATGTCAATCATATCAAACATATTTCCATTCAACAAGTATACCGCCCATACCTGGGACAATAGTTAGCTTGTCTCAAAAAAAAAAAAAAAGTATCTTGCTATACAAATGGTGGATAATAAAACTAATATCCAGACCATATGATGCAAAAGACAGGTGAGAAAGAGTAAAAACCAACAATGGTTGAATCTCCAAATTAGGAGAGTTCTCAATTAAGAAATGGCCCATAAGGTAGGCAGTAAATATAAAAACTTTGAGCCCTCCTTTGATAAACTGTTAATCATTAAAGAGATAACCATCCCAATCAGAAGTAAATGTGAAGCATGGAGCTGGGTTTAAACTGAATCTAAACTCAGCAAACTGATCAATATAATTAGGGTAATGAGGAAATCCATCCTCAAGAATTGAACTAATCTACATTCCTAGGTTCAAGGGTTACTTGTGCAACTCAAAGAAGCAAACGAATATGATAATACTTTTCAAACTATAAATTTCTGTTTTTGTATTTGCTCAGCAAGTGAAGGAATGATGCTTAAGACTACTCCTATAACTGCAGCTCAAACAATAGCGGAAATACACTAGAACTTCCTGGGCAGTTAATTATGACATTAGTAATGAGCCAATGAACAAACAACCTAATCAACATAAACATTGAACTGAAACATCTCTCTCTCTCTCTCTCTCTCTCTCTCATACACACACATGCAGACATCAAAAACATTAAAGTGAAACATAACTCTCTTTCCCTCTAATTTAATGGACAACATTTAGCAACAATTTTGGAGTGCATTTGTCATCCAACAGGATAGGTATTCTGAAAACCAATACCAATATAATGCATAGCACATAAATTAGGTGATATGATATGATGTATTGTGGATGAGGGATTGAACCTGTATGTGCGTATAAACATCTTTATATCTTTTGTGTATTGTACATGTATAGTCCTGTTGCTATAGTCAGGGATCTCCATATCATTTTGAAAATCCTACAAACATATGGAACACATCAGGACTGGTAACTATCCCTAAACCCACCTCATTTCCTCGGATATTTTTCTCTACTTCTTTCTTCTATTGTTGTGAACAAAACCCTAACCATAAGACACAGTATTGGGTTTTACACAGACGGTCCTCTTGTTGCTGCACACATTATTATTTTAATAGCTAGGAACAGTATGAGGGAAGAACTGAGCTGCAGCTCAAGAACCAAGGTCTAGGAGATCATACGAATTACTGACATCATTGAACAAACTGCTGATATCAGCATACAGAAATCCAGAATCCAAAATTTTTTTAGAGATTTTGTTCTCTATGAGCCTATTGTTTTGATACACACGCGCACATACATATAGAGGAGGTTCAGAATTCATTAAGAGGAGTTTTGACTTAAAGAAGTAGTCTCAAAACATCTTTCTAGTTTTGCAAGATTCTCAAGTCCAGAGCTATATGCTGCTCAAACTGTAGTAAAGGTAAAAATCCCAACATATGCTGGCCCTTTATTGAAGTTCAGTGCATATTCAATCACAGATCTACAAGATTTCACAAGTTTTGTGGCAAATCTACCATTCACATGAAGACATTTTCAAGCCCTTGACTTACATGTGTGCATGTTTATTTCACATGTTTCTATGTTCATTAGATTCCATCAAAGATAGATAAGGTTTTTATTCAATTTTAACGCAGGACAATATTATTCCTTTTTTTTTTTGTTTAATTTTAAGGATGTATATTTAGATTTTAATTTTAGGGTTTATTTTTAGGATTTTTATGTTCCTTTTGTGGTTTTAGTTTATTTATTTATTTAGGATTTTTAGAAGTTGTTTAGAAAAGTACTTAGAGCATTTATGAAATATTTTGTTTTATCAAGGGTAAAATTGTCATTACAAATTTTGTAGTTAAGTTAGAACTTTTGGGGATTTTTTCATTAATTGTATGGATACTTAATGTCTTTTGAACAATAAATCGAATACAAAATTGGTGCGTGGGGCCTAGAGGGCTCATGTGGTTTGTTAATGAGGAAAAGAAAGAAAAGCTCCAGGCTTCTGAAGTCCTAGGTAGGGTTTGAGGAAGAAACCCTAGGTTTCTTTTACTTGTGACGTCTGTTTAGCCTGAATTATTACTGATTTTCTGCTCTCTTTCAATTTCTCTAGATCAAATTTGTGTGCTCACTGGATCACTAGAAGCTGCACTTCACAATTTTTTGGGCAATTATTTCTACCAAACATATTATTGATCTTTTTTAATTTTATATGGTGTCTCTCCCCAACTCAAACCAGATCATTTGGAGTAGCTCATCTCCTATACTATGCTCCTTAAATACCAAGTTGTATCACTTTACTTGTATTTGAATCCATGGATAAGGGTAGCACCCTTATAACTCACCTTGTCTCTCATGGGACCTAAAGTTCGATAGAAGAAAAACTAATGGCAAAAGATTTCTTCTACACAATGGCGAACCTCTATATGATCCTCTCTCCCCCAATTCAGGGGCCTTAGGGGTATTTGTTTCACCCCAAACCTTGTTGAGTCCACAAACGACCAACACGAAGTCCATGCTAACATCTTTGATGGTGCACTTGGAATGGGAAGTGGAGAATATAAACTTGCGTTCTGACACTGCCCCTTTGCAATTTGACATACTCTGCACCCCTCCACATAATTAGCCACATTGCGCCTAAGTTTGGGCCAATAGTACTTAGACTTGACCAATGCGATGGTCTCGTCTTGCCCAAAGTGTCCCCCAAGGCCCCACCATGTAGCTCTAAAATAAGGAACTCTCTATGAAAACCAATAAGAATGCATAATTGATTCCCTTTTAAAAGAAACCCATCTTGTACCACAAACTCCTACAACTCCACCTTGGCACTGCGCCCAAATCTCTCCAAAATCATCATCATCAGCATACAAGTCACTATTGCCATAGTGCCATAGTGATCAAAAGTGACGCTCTCCTACTCAAGGCATCTGCAACTTTATTCTGACTCCCAGCCTCATGACAAATCACAAAGGTAAACTCTTGCGAATATGCCACCCACCTAGCATGTCGGCTATTAAGCTTATGCTGCCCATTAATATGCTTCAGCACCTCATGACGAGAAAATAAAAGAAACTTTTGCTGAATAAGATAATGATGCTAGTGTCTTAGGCCCGAATGATTACATAAAATTCCACGTCATATGTGAAGTACCGTCGATGCGTATCATCAGCTCCTCGCTGAAATATGTGATTGGTCTGCCCTCTTGTCTCAAAACAGACCCAATACCAACATGCGAGGCGTCACACTCTAGCTCAAACATCTTATCAAAGTTTGGTAATGCTAACACGGGTGCCTCAGTCATGGCTTGCTTAATCCTCTCAACACTCTTTTCTACATCTGCGGTCTATCTAAAAGAACCCTTCTTCAAACTGTTAGTGAGTGGTGCTATGATGGTGCTTAATCCTCTAATGAACCGTCGATAGAAAGTTGCCAGCCATGGAAACTACGCACGTCATGGACTGATATAGGGGTTGGCCATTTTTATCGCTGACACCTCTCTCATCCACCTTGAATCCCTTAGCAGAAACCATGAAACCCAAGAAAATTAAACTGCTGGTCATGAATTCAAACTTCCTCAAATTGGCATACAGCTGTTGCCCTCGTAACAACTCCAACACAAGCCTTAGATGGTCCACATGTTGCCTTTCACTAGTGCTGTATACAAGGATATCATCAAAGTATACCACCACAAACTTTCCTTTATATGGCTTAAAGACTTTGGTTCTTGAGCCTCATAAAGGTGCTAGCTGCATTTGATAACCCAAATGGCATAACCAGTCACTCATACAATCCCTCTTGTGTCCTAAACGCTGCTGCTTCCATTCATCATCAGACTTGATTCTGATTTGATGGTAACCACTTCTCAAGTCTATTTTAGAGAAAATTGTAGCCCCCACCATGTCCAACATATCATCCAGGTGAATCGAAAAGCAATATCTCATGGTGATTTTATTGATTGCCCTGCTGTCCGTACACATGTGCCAAGAATCATCCTTCTTGGGTGTCAACAATGCTGGCACTGCACATGGGCTCATACTCTCCCTGATAAACCCCTTTTCTAGCAACTTTGAAACTTGCCTATGTAATTCCTCATGCTCCTTGGGACTCATTTTATAGGCTGCTTTATTTGAGAGACTAGAACCAGGGATGAGGTTGATGTGATGTCGGATGTCTCGCATAGGAGTTAATCCCGCTGGAAGATCATCCGCTATTGACATCATTGAACTCTCTCATCAATGCCTCTAGGTTAGGAGGAATGGAACTAATGGGCTTTTCTTTAACTGGCACCATAACATACAACACACCTGCTCACCCAAATCCCACATGAACTCCGTCAAATACAAGATATTAGTGCTGCCCTCTTCTGATTTTGAAGCACTCTCCATCTTAGAGGGTCCTAGAATCAATTTAACCCCATCTTTGACAAAGGAGTAAGTGTTTCTGAAACCATCATGAGTGGTATGCCTGTCATACTACCATGGTCTCCCCAACAACAAATGGCAGGCGTCCATAGGCATTACATCTCCCCATTTCGTCTTTGTATATTTTTTCAATACAAAAAGAAGCAATACATTGTTTAGATACAGTTACCTCAGCAGCCTTCTTGAACTATTGAATTTTATAAGGCTTCGGATGGTTTTTTGTCTTGAGCTTAAGCTTATCAACCATCACTTGAGAAGCTATGTTTTCGCAACTCCCTCCATCAATAATTAGATTACACACTTTTCCATAT